TGATGTCAGAGGAAAAGCTGTCAGCTTCTCGGTGTTCAGTATGATGTTGGCTGTGGGTTTTTCATATATGGCCTTTATTGCGTTGAGGTACTTGCTGTGTATACCCATTTTTTTAGAGTTTTTATCATGAATGGATGTTGAATTTTGTCGAATGCTTTTTCAGCATCTGTGGACATGATCATGTGGTTTTTCTCCTTTTTGTTTATGTGATGGATGATGTGGATGGATTTTTGAATGTTGTACCATCCTTGCATCCCTGAGATGAATCCCACTTGATCATGGTGTATGATCCTTTAGATGTATTTTTGAATTCGGTTTGCTAATATTTTGTTGAGTATTTTTGCATCTATGTTCATCAGGAATATTGGTCTGTAATTTTCTTTTTTGGTGGGGTCTTTGTCTGATTTTGGTATTAGGGTGATGCTGGCTTCATAGAATGAGTTTGGAAGTATTCCCTCCTCTTCTGTTTTTTGGAAAACTTTAAGGAGAATGGGTATTATGTCTTCTCTTTATGTCTGATAAAATTCCGAGGTAAATCCATCTGGTCCCGGGGTTTTGTTCTTGGGTAGTTTTTTGATTACTGATTCAATTTCGTTGCTGGTAATTGGTCTGTTTAGACTTTCTGTTTCTTTCTGAGTCAGTCTTGGAAGGTTGTATTTTTCTAGGAAATTGTCCTTTTCTTCTAGTTTTTCCTGCTTGTTAGTATATAGGTTTTCATAGTATTCTCTAATAATTGTTTGTATTTCTGTGGTGTCTGTCATGATTTTTCCTTTCTCGTTTCTGATTCTGTTGATGTGTGTTGATTCTCTTTCTCTTTTAATACATCTGGCTAGAGGATTATCTATTTTTTTTTCATTTTCTCAAAGAACCATTTTGGTTTCATTGATTTTTTTCTGTTGTTTTATTCTCAATTTTATTTATTTCTTCTCTAATCTTTATTATGTCCCTCCTTCTGCAGAGTTTAGGCCTCCTTTGTTCTTCTTTTTCCAATTTCGATAATTTTGACTTTAGACTATTCATTTGGGATTGTTCTTCCTTCTTTATATATGCCTGGATTGCTATATACTTCCCTGTTAGGACTGTTTTCGCTGTGTCCCGCTGAAGTTGGGGCTTTGTGTTGTTGTTGTCATTTTTTTCCTTTTAGTGCTTGATCTCTATTTTAATTTGGTCTTTGATCCATTGATTATTTAGGAGTATGTTGTTAAGCCTCCATATTAAGCCTCCATTTAGGAGCTTGTGTTAAGTAGTGTGTTGACGTCTCCTGAAATGAATGCATTGCATTCTATTTCCTCCTTTAATTCTGTTAGTATTTGTTTCACATATGGTGGTGCTCCTATACTGGGTGCATTTATATTTATAATGGTTATATCCTTTTGTTGGATGGATCCCTTTATCATTATATGAGCCTTTTTGTTTTCTTTCGACAATTTATTTCTAGTTTTATACGTTTGTGGTCTGAAAAGTTGCTTGGTTGAATTTTAATCTTTTTGAATTTACTGAGGCTGTTTTTGTGGCCCAGTTTGTGGTCTTTTCTGCAGAATGTTCCATGTGCACTTGAGAAGAATGTGTATCCTGCTGCTTTGGATGTAGAGTTCTGTAGATGTCTATTAGGTCCACCTGTTCTAGTGTGTTGTTCAGTGCCTCTGTGTCCTTACTTATTTTCTGTCTGCTGGATCTATCCTTTGGAGTGAGTGGTGTGTTGATGTCTCCTAAAATGAATGCATTGCATTCTATTTTCTCCTTTAATTCTGTTAGTATTTGTTTCACATATGCTGGTGCTCCTGTATTGGGTGCATATATGTTTATAATGGTTATATCCTCTTGTTGGACTGACCCCTTTATCATTATGTAATGTCCTTCTTTATGTCTTGTTACTTTCTTTGTTTTGAAGTGTATTTTGTCTGATAGTAGTACTGCAACACCTGCTTTTTTTCTCCCTGTTGTTTGCTTGAAATATGTTTTTCCATCCCTTGACTTTTAGTCTGTGCTTGTCTTTGGGTTTGAGGTGAGTCTCTTGTAAGCAGCATATAGTTGGGTCTTGCTTTTTTATACAGTCTTTTATTCTGTGTCTTTTCATTGGTGCATTCAGTCCATTTACATTTAGGGTGATTATTTAAAGATATGTATTTATTGCCATTGCATGCTTTAGATTCGTGGTTACCAAAGGTTCAAGGTTAGCTTCTTTACTATCTTACTGTCTAACTTAACTCGCTTATTGAGCTCTTATAAACACTGTCTGATGTTTCTTTATTTCTCTCCCTTTTTATTCCTCCTCCTCCATTGTTTATATGTTGTGTGTTTTATGCTGTGCTCTTTTGTGTTTCCTTTGATTCCTTTTGTGCATAGTTGATTTTATTTTTTGCCTCTTGTTAGTATTTAGTTGGTCTGCTTTCTATCCTGTGATTTTATTTTCTCTGGTGATATCTATTCAGCCTTAGGAGGTCTCTGCTTTAGAGCAGACCCTCTAAAACACCCTGTAGAGGTGGTTTGTGGGAGGCAAATTCCCTCAACTTTTACTTGTCTGGGTATTGTTTAATCCCTCCTTCATATTTAAATGATAATTGTGCTGGATACAGTATTCTTGGTTCAAGGCCCTTGTGTTTCATTGTATTGAATATATCGTGCCATTCTCTTCTGACCTGTAAGGTTTCTGTTGAAAAGTCTGATGATAGCTTGATGGGTTTTCCTTTGTAGGTGACCTTTTTTCTCTGTCTAGCTGCCTTTAAAATTCTGTACTTGTCCTTGATCTTTGCCATTTTAATTACGTGTCTTGATGTTGTCCTCCTTTGGTCCCATTTTATGGGAGTTCTGTGTGCTTTTGTGGTCTGAGCAACTATTTGCTCCCCCAGTTTTGGGAAGTTTTCAGCAGTTATTTCTTCAAATATACTCTCTGTCCCTTTTTCTATCTCTTCTTCTTCTGGTACCCCTGTAATGCAGGTATTGTTCCTTTTGGATTGGTCACACAGTTCTCTTAATATTGTTTCATTTCTGGAGATCCTTTTATCTCTCTCTGCATCAGCTTCTATATGTTCCTTTTCTCTGGTTTCTATTCCATTAATGGCCTCTTGTGTCTCATTCATTCTGCTTTTAAGTCCTTCCAGGGATTCTTTTATGTCTGTAGTCTCCATCCCTACTTTGTCGGTTAGCTCTTGCATTTTTCTCTGCAGCTCCATCAGCTTGGTTATGACCTTTATTTTGAATTCTTTTTCAGGAAGATTGGTTAGGTCTACATTCCCAGGTTCCCTCTCAGGGGAAGATATCTGTGTGATTCTGATCTGGATCAAATTCTTCTGCCTTTTCATGATGATAGAGGTAGTTGTAGAGTGTTGGCATGTGTGTCTGCTGGGAGAATGTCCCTTCTTTCTAGTTTGTGGCTTTCCTTTCCTGGACGAATGGCTACCCCTAGCGGCTTTTTCTGGGCAGCTGCATGCAGACCGTTCCTCTGATTCTTGCCCGTCCACTGTGGAGGAAGCTCTGCCTTGTTGCTGTGGGCGTGGCTGCTTTCATGTTGCTGATCAGCTATGGCGGGGCTGTGACAGAGGGGGAATGGGCAGGAGGCTGTTTATCTCTGTGAGGGTCCTCCGAGCTGCCCTGTCACTCAGGGGGTTAGGGATCCCGGAGTTTCTGGGATTCCCAGCTCCTGGGCTGAGTGTGCTGGGATTCTTCCGTCCAGTTGTGAGGCCCCTGTCCCTTTAATTATTTCAAAAAGAACTCGCTTTTCTTTGTCCCAGGGGCACTGGCTGTGGGGACCCGCTCGCAGGTTTTCCTTTCCCGTTTCCCTAGTATCCAGCACACCATGCACTGTGTGTGTACGCTCCCTGTGAGGATGGCTAGGGCTGGGTACTTAGCATTCCTGGGCTCCCTCTCCCTCCCTGCTCCCACTCCTCTCTTTCTGCCTGGGTGCTGGGGTGAGGGGCACCTGTGGGTCCCGCTGGGCTGCAGCTTGTATCTTACCCCCTTTGTGAGGCACTGGGTTCTCACAGGTATAGATGTTGTCTAGCTCTTGTACTGTATCTTTTGGTCTCTCTTTTAGGAGTAGTTGTATTTGTTATATTTTAAAAAATATATATGGTTTTGGGAGGAGATTTCCTCTGCTCTTCTCATGCTGCCATCTTGGCTCCTCCCTTTAAGACTTTAAAGTGCCTGCTTTTCTATTGTCCCAGGGGATCCAGCTTTGAGGACCCACTCACAGTCTCTGTCTTGGATTTTACTTTTCCATTTCTCTAATATTCAGTACACCATGACATTTGTGTCTGTGCTCCTGGTGCAGATTACTAGGGCTGGTTATTTAGCAGTCTTGTGCTTCCACTCCATCCCCAGTCTGATTATTTTCCTTCCACCAGTGAGTTTGGGTGGGGGGAGTGCTCGGGTCCCGCTGGGCTGCGACTTGTATCTTACCCTTTCATGAGATGCTGAGTTCTCGCAGATGTAGATGTAGCCTGGCTGTTGTAGTGTATCTTCAGGTCTCTCTTTTCGGAATAGTTGTATTTGCTGTATTTTCAAAAATATATATGGTTTTGGGAGCAGATTTCTGCCGCCTTACTCATGCTGCCATCTTGAGCACCTCTCTCTCTTTTTACATTTTTAATGTGGTTGTTTGAACATCTTAAATTAAATTTTGCGCTCACGTTACATTTCTGTTTGGCAGTATTGCTTTGGAATCTCTTATAGCATTGACCATTCTGAGTCTTAATGAAGCTTTACTGTCTATACATTTTTAGCTGTTTCATGATTGTTTTAGAGCAGTGTGCTCCAATAGAACTTTTTGCATTAATGAAAATGTTTGGTAATCTCCCCAATATAGTCTCCTCTAGCCACGTGTGGCTACTGAGCACTTGAAATGTAGCTAGTGTGATGAAAGAACTACATTTAAAATTGTACTTAATTTGAATTTATTTAAATGTAAATTTAAATGTTAAGTATGTGACCTGGACAGCACAGTTCTGGATCTCATGAAAAATTAAATTTCAATAAACTTTGGCTGGTTTTCTCTTTTTTAGTTGTGTTGGTGTTGAAGAGGAGAAAGCTGCTGACATTGACCTGTACCACTGTCCCAACTGTGAGGTGTTACATGGGCCCTCCATTAGTAAGTAGACCTTGCAGTTTCCAAGATAATGTAGTCCAGAGGAGAGAGAAAGCAAAAGAAGGGTGGAAGGGAGATTGCCTTTACCTGCTTCAGATTCATCTCCCTTGGGAAATAGCAGAAGCCTGTGTAGGCTTGCAGGCCAGAAGCTGCCCCAGTGAGAGGGCAAAAGTGTAGCGTTTCATCCCTCTCTCTTCCTAGGGATTCCCCAGAGAAAGCACCTGTCCTCACCAGGGACTCTCCTGAGTCTTTGAAGACCTCACTGACTCCAAATGCTCCATGGGGTTGTTAGATTGGAAGAGAAGCAGGATATGCCAAGGTCTTTGCTCTTGGAACTATAGCTCATGTCCATCTGACTGATGCTCTCATCTTTTTCTGGCTTAGTGAAAAAACGCCGTGTATCTTCAAAAGGGCATGATACACACAAAGGGAAACCAGTGAAGACTGGAAGCCCAACATTCATTCGAGAGCTTCGGAGCAGGACCTTTGACAGGTGAGGACCCTTACCCTGAGATCAGGTGATCACCAGGATTCTGGGAGGTGGGACCCATGTCTTTCCACCTTTCCCACTGGCTATCCCATTAGGTGCCTACCCCATTTGGGGCTGTCTTCAGGGCTCTGTGAGTCCCCTCTGATGAGGGATCTTCTGGTGTAGACAGTTTGTGGGAAACATTGCTAGAATTTCATTTGATGTGCATAGTATGTTTAGATCCATTTGTAGAAACTTTTGGTAGATAGGTAGGCAGTTTTCTCCTGTCAGGGGAGGATGTTATGTATCTAAGTAATGCTACAACTAGAAGGAGTCTTAAAGATAAAAAAGATTAATTCTCTCATTGTAGAGAAGAGGAAACAGTTTTTAAATTTTGTTTGTTAAGGTATCATTGATATATAATCTTAAGAAGATTTCACATGAGCAACATGTGGTTATTACATTCACCCATATTACCATGTCACCCTCACCCATCCCATTGCAGTCACTGTACGTCAGCGTAGTAAGATGCTATAGAGTCACTACTTGTTTTCTCTGCTCTATACTGTCTGTCCCATGACCGCCCTACATTATGTGTGCTAATCACAATGCCCCTTAATTCCCTTCTCTCTCCCTCCCTACCTTCCCCTCTACCCACTTCCCATTGGTAACCGTTACTCCCTTCCTGGAGTCTGTGAGTCTGCTGCAGTTTTGCTCCCTCAGTTTTACTTCATTATACTCCACAAATGAGTGATATCATTTGGTACTTGTCTTTCTCGGCCTGGCTTATTTTACTGAGCATAATACCCTCCAGCTCCATCCATGTTGTTGCAAATGGTAGGATTTGTTACTTTCTTATGACTGAGTAGTATTCCATTGTGTATATGTACTGCATCTTCTTTATCCATTCATGTACTGATGGACACTTAGGTTGCTTCCATATCTTCGCTATTGTAAATAACACTGCAGTAAGCATAGGGGTTTGCAGTCACTGTCTATCAACATACCAAGATGTTACCAAGTCATTAACTGTACCCTCTGCTACATATATATTTTTGAATATGAGATTGGGTTTTCTTTGGGTAAATTCCTAGGAGTGGAATTCCTGGGTAAAATGGTATTTCTCTTTTTAGCATTTTGAAGACCATCCATACTGCTTTCCACAAAGGTTGAATTCATTTATATTCCCATCAATAGTGTAGGAGGGTTGCCCTTTCTCCGCATCCTAGCCAGCATTTGTTATTCCTGGTCTTTTGGATGTTAGCCATCCTAACTCGTGTGAAGTGATAACTCTTTGTGGTTTTAATTTGCATTTCTCTGATAATTACCGATGTGGAGTATCTTTTCATGCTGTTGGCCATCTGAATTTCTTCTTTGGAGAAGTGTCTGTTTAGGTCCTCCCCATCTTTTAATATGGTTGTTTGCTTTTTGGGTATTGAGGCGTGTAAGTTCTTTATATATTTTGGATGTTAAACCCTTTTGGGATAAGTTGTTTATGAATCTATTCTCCCATATTATAGGATGCCTTTTTGTTCTACTGATGGTGTCCTTTGCTGTACAGAAGCTATTTAGTTTGATATGGTCTTGTTTGTTCATTTTTGCTTTTGTTTCCCTTGCCCAAAGATATGTGTTGAGGAAAAAATTGCTCATACTTATACTGTAAAAAAGGAGATTTTTGCCTGTGTTGTCTTCTAAGAGTTTTGTGGTTTCATGACTTACATTCAGCTTTTTGATCCATTTCAAGTTTACGTTTGTGAATGGAGTAAGACAGTAATCCAGTTTCATTCTCTTACATGTAGCTGTCCAGTTTTTGCCAACACCAGTTGTTGAAGAGGCTGTCATTTCTCCATTGTATATCCATGTCTTCTTTATCATATATTACTTGACCATATATGGTTGGGTTTATATCAGGGCTCTCTAGTCTGTTCCATTGGTCTATGCATCTGTTCTTATGCCAGTACCAAATTCTTTTGATTACTGTGGCTTTGTAGTAGAGCTTGAAGTTGGGAAGCGAAATTACCCCTGCTTTATTCTTCCTTCTCAGGATTGCTTAGGTAATTCGGGGTCTTTTGTGCTTCCATATGAGTTTTAGAATGATTTTCTCTAGTTCGTGGAAGAATGCTGTTGGTGTTTTGATAGGAATTGCACTGAATCTGTAGATTACTTTAGGCAGGATGGCCATTTTGACAATATTAATTTTTCCTGTCCATGAGCATGGGATGTACTTCCATTTATTGGTATCTTCAGTTTTTCTCGTGAGTGTCATGTAGTTTTCAGGGTATAGGTCTTTCACCTCCTTGGTTAGATTTATTCCTAGGTATTAATGCAATTTTGAATGGAGTTGTTTTCCTGATTTCTCTTTCTGCTAGTGCATCATTAATATATAGGACTGCAACAGATTTCTGTGTATTAATTTTGTATCCTGCAACTTTGCTGAATTTTTAGTACTTGTAGTTTTTTTGGTTGATTCCTTAGGGTACAATATCACGTCATCTGCAAACAGTGATAGTTTAACTTCTTCCTTATTAATCTGGGTGCCTTTTATTCTTTGTGTTGTGTGATTCCCATGGCTAGGACCTCCAGAGCTATGTTTAATAAAAGTGGGGAGCGTGGGCATCGTTGTCTTCTTCCTAATCTTAGAGGAAAAGCTTTCAGCTTTTTGCTTTGAAGTATGATGTTGGCTCTGAGTTTGTCATATATGGTGTTTATTATGTTGAGGTTGTTACCCTCTCTACCCATTTTGTTGAGAGTTTTTATTGTAAATGGATGTTGAATTTTGTCGAATGCCTTTTCAGCATGTATGGAGATGATCATGTGGTTTTTGTCCTTTTTGTTGATGTGGTGGATGATGTTGATGGATTTTTGAATATTGTACCATCCTTGCATCCCTGAAATAAATCCTACTTGATCATGATGGATGATCTTTTTGATGTATTTTTGAATTCGGTTTGCTAATATTTCATTGAGTATTTTTGCATCTATGTTCTTCCGGGATATTGGTCTGTAAATTTCTTTTTTGGGGTGTCTTTGCCTATTTTTGGTATTAGAGTGATGCTGGCTTCATACAATGAGTTTGGGAGTATTCCCTCCTTGTCTACTTTTTGGAAAACTTAAGGAGGATGTGTATTAGGTCTTATATAAATTTTTGATAAAATTCAGTGGTGAGGCCATCTCGTCCAGGGATATTGTTCTTTGGTGCTTTTTTGATTAACAGTTTAATTTCATTTCTGGTAGTTTGTCTGTTCAGATTTTCTGTTTCTTCCTGGGTCATTCTTGGAAGGTTGTATTTTCTGGAAAGTTGTCCATTTCTTCTACGTTATCCAGTTTGTTAGCATATAATTTTTCATAGTATTCTCTAATATTTCTTTGTATTCCTGTGGTGTCCGTAGTGAATTTCCCTTTCTCATTTCTGATTCTGTTTATGGAACTGTCTTTAAAATTAAAATTTTTGAATGGTCATGTAGTTCTTTTACAAATAAGAAAAAGATAGGTTTCATTTTTAAAAAATTAAAGTGGGCTTATTAAAAATAAATTGCTTGGAAATATCATTTGACCCAGAAATTCCACTTCTAGGAATTTACCCTAAGAATGCAGTAGCCCATTTTGAAAAAGACCTATTCACCATTATGTTTATTGCAGCACTATTTACAATAGCCAAGAAATGGAAGCAACCTAAGTGTCCATCAGTAGATGAATGGATAAAGAAGGTGTGGTATCTATACACAATGGAATATTTTTCAGCCATAAGAATAAAACAAATCCTACCATTTGCAACAACATGGATGGAGCTAGAGGGTATTATGCTCAGTGAAATAAGCCAGGCGGAGAAAGACAAGTATCAAATGATTTCACTTATCTGTGGAGTATAAGAACAAAGCAAAAACTGAAAGAACAAAACAGCAGCAGACTTACAGAACCCAAGAATGGACTAACAGTTACCAAGGGAAAAGAGACTGAGGAGGGTCGGTGGGAAGGGAGGGATAAGGGGGAAAATGGGGCATTACGATTAGTAGGCATAATCTAGAAGGGGAACACAGGGAAGGCAGTATATACAGAGAAGATAAGTAATGATTCTATAGCATCTTACTACACTGATGGACAGTGACTGTAAGGGGGTATGTGGGGGGGGACTTGATAATAGGGGAAGTCTAGTAACCATAATTTTGTTCAAGTAATTGTACATTAATGATATCAAAATAAAAATAAAAATTTTTAATGTAAATAAAAGTAAATAAATTGCTTGAGTTGGGCAAAAATAATGAGAAAATATAGAAAAATTAATGAATAAAGCAGTCTTTTGCTTAGTTTTTAATTCATTTGACCATGCTCAGCTATCATGGAATTAAAGTTTTCTTTAGAATTGTGTTTCTTCAACGTAATATTTTTGTTTTATTTGTTAATTTAAAGGCTTTAAGTCTCCTTTCTATCCCCGATCCTTCAGGTCCCTTCCTCAAAGCCAAACAACTTCTTTTGCATTTTTTAAGGAATAGTTTTTGCTTATATAGACATATATGTGTGTCTTCCCTTCCTTAAAAAAAAAAACCAAATAGATACACTCTATAATTTTATGCATCTTGCTTTTTTTTTAAAGTCTAAATTATTTATCTTGGAAATCAGACCATAACAGCACATATATATGTTCTTTACTTTTCTCATGGATGTTTAGTGTTCCATTGTATAGATACATACTTTTTAATCAATCCTCTATTGATGAACATTTAAATTGATCTTAAAGAAAGAAGTCCTATGTATATACTTCCTATTGTAGACTCATTTCCAATCTAAAGACATACACAAGTAAAAGTGAAGGGATGGAAGAAGATATTTCATGCAAACAACAGGTAGAACAAAGCCGGAGTAGCAGTGCTTATATCAGACAAAATAGATTTCGGAACAAAGAAAGTAACAAGAGACAAAGAAGGACAATACATAATGATAAAGGTGTCAGTCCAATAAGAGACTATAACCATTATCAAGTATCTATGCACCCAACATAGGTGCCCCTAAATGTGTAATACAAATGCTAACTAAAGGGGGAAATAGATTACAACACATTCATTGTAGTAGATGTTAACACACCACTCACATGAGAAGACAGATCAACCAGACAGAAAACAAATAAGGAAACAGAGACACTGAACCATACATTCGATCAGATTAACTTAACAGACGACATCTACAGAACAGTGCACCCAAAAGTAGCAGGATACACATTTTACTCAAGTATACATGGAATGTTCTCCAGTATACGTCACATACTAGGCCACAAAAAAGCCTCAACAAATTAAAAAATATTGAAATTGTACCAAGCAACTTCTCAGATCACAATGGTATGAAACTAGTAATAAATTACACAAAGAAAACAAAAAAGCCTACAAACATGTGGAAGCTAAACAACATGCTTCTAAATAATCAGTTGATCAATGAACAAGTTAAAACAAATCAAGCAATAACATGGAGAGAAATGAAAATAAAAAATGCAATAGTCCAGTATCTGTGGGATGCTGCAAAGGCTGTTTTAAGAGGGAGGTACATAGCTGTACCTCAGGAAACAAGAACAATTCCAAATAAACAGTGTAAACTCATAGTTAAAAGAACTAAAGAAACTCAAAGGTAGTGGAAGGAGGGACATAATAAAGATCAGAGCATAAATAAGTAATATAGAGAAGAATGAAACAGTGGGGAAAGTTAATGAATCTAAGAGCTGGTTCTTTGAGAAAATAAGCAAAATAGATAACCCCCTATCCAGACTTACCAAGAAAAGTGTACACATATAAACAAAATAAAAATGAAGGAATACTCACAACAGATACCACAGCAATACAAATAATTATTTGAGGATACTATGAAAAATTATATGCCAATTAATTGGACAACCTAAAAGAAATGGACAAATTCCAAGAAAAATAAAACCTTCCAAGACTGACTCAGGAAAAAACAGAAATTCTGAACAGACCAATCAACCATATTCAAATTGAATTGATAATCAAAAATACCAGTAAACAGAAGTACAGGACTAGATGGCTTCATAGCTGAATTCTATCCAACATTTAAAGAATAGCTAATACCATCCTTAAAGTATTCCAAAAAGTAGAAGAGGGAATGCTTCCAAACTGATTCTATGATGCCAGCATCACTCTAACACCAAAACCAGGGAAAGACTCTACAGAGAAAGAAAATTACAGACCAATATTCCTGATGAACATAGATGTAAAAATACTCAGCAGAGTATTACCAAACAGAATTCAGAAATATCTCAGAAGGATCATCCATCATGACCAAGTGGGATTTATCATCCATCATGACCAAATGGGATGCAAGGATGATATAATATTTGTAAATCAATCAAAATATACCACATTAACAAAAAGAATAATGAAAACCACAAGATCATCTTGATGCTGGGAAAGCATTTGACAGTATTCAATGTCCATTCATGATAAAAACACTCAACTAAATGGGCATAGAGGGCACATACCTCAATGTAATAAAGGCCATATATGACAGGCCCACAAGTAACATACTTAATGGTGAAAAGCTGAAAACTCTTTCTCTAAGATCCAAAACAAGGCAAGGATGCCCACTTTAACCACATTTATTCAACATAGTATGGGAGGTCCTAGCCACAGCAATCAGACAAAACAAAAAGATAAAAGACATCCACATTGGTAAGGAAGAAGTTAAACTGTCACTGTTTGTAGATGACTTGATATTATACATAGAAAACTCCAAAGACCCCACCAAAACACTATTAGAACTAATAAATGGATTCAGCAAAGTTGCAGGATACGAAATTAATACACAGAAATCGGTTGTGTCTTATATATAGCAGAAAGAAAAATCAGGAAAACAATTCCATTTACAATTGCCTCAAAAATAATAAAATACCAAGGAATAAACCTAACCAAGGAAGTGAAAGAACTATACTGTGAAAACTACAAGACACTCATAAGAAATTAAAGAAAACACAAATAAGTGGAAATCTATCCCATGCTCTTGTATAGGAAGAATTAATATTGTCAAAATGGCCATCCTGCCCAAAGCAATTTACAGTTAATGCAATCGTTATCAAAGTTTCAACAGCATTTTTCACTGAACTAGAAGAAATAGTTCTAAAATTCACATGGAACCACAAAGTACCCCAAATAGCCAAAGCAATCCTAAGAAAGAAGAACAAAGCTGGGGGGATTATATTCCTTGGCTTGAAGGTCTACTACAAAGCCACAGTAATCAAAACAATTTGGTACTGACACAAGAACAGACCCATGGATCAGTGGAATAGAATAGAGAGCCCAGATATAAATCCACACATATATGGTTAACTAATATACGATAAAGGAGCCATGAATATATCCTGGGGAAAAGACAGCTTCTTTAATTAACAACTGGTGTTGGAAAAACGGGACGGCTATATGCCAGAGAATGAAACTGCGTTACTGCCTATCTTCATACACATACATAAACTTGAAATGGATCAAAGAGCTGAATGTAAGTCATGAAACCATAAAACTCTTAGAAGAAAACACAGGCAAAAATCTCTTTTTTTAAACGTGTAAGTATGAGCAACTTTTTCCTGGACACATTTCCTTGGGCAAGGGAAACAAAATAAAAAATGAAAAAGTCGGAGTACATCAAACTAAAACCTTCTGTAGAACAAAAGAACACCATCTGCAGAACCAAAAGGCACCCTACAATATGGGAGAACATATTCATAAATGACTCATTTATAAAGGGGTTAACATCCCAGGTATATAAAGAGCTCATATGCCTCAATACCCTAAAAAAAATAACCCCATTAAGAAATGGGTGGAGGACCTGAATAGACATTTCTCCAAAGAAGAGATATAGTTGGCCAACAGGCACATGAAAAGATGCTCCACGTCCCTAATCATCAGGGATATCACAAAGAGATATCACCGCACACAAATTAGAACTGCCCCTATCCAGAAGACAAGAAAAAACAAGTTTTGGTGAGGATGTGGGGAAATGGGAACCCTCGTACACTGTTGGTGGAAATGTAAATTGGTGCAGCCACTGTGGAATGCAGTATGGAGGTTTCCCAAAAAACTAAAAATACACTATTTGACCCAGTAATTCCATTTCTAGGAATTTACCTGAAGAAAACAAAATCCCTGATCTGAAAAGTTGTATGCACCCCTATGTTTATTGCTGCATTATTTACAATAGTCAATTTATGGAACCAACCTAAGTGTCCCGTCAATAGATGAAGGGATAATGAAGATGTACGTATATACAATGGAATAGTATTCAGCCATAAAACAAAAAGAAATCCTGCCATTTGCAACAACATTGATGGATCTAGAGGGTAGTATCCTCAGTGAAATAAGCTAGGTGGAGAAATACGAATACTATAGGATTTCACTTATTTGTGAAATATAAGTACAAAGCTAAATAGAATGAACAAAATGTCAGTAGACTCATAGACACTGAGAAGGGGCTCATGGTTACCATGTGGAGTGGGTATTGGGTTTGGGGGGATGGTGAGGAGGAAAAAGGGGCACAAAAATTCTCAATCATATTGTAGGTTAGTCACGACGATGGTAGTACTGCATGGAGAATATAACCAATGATTGTGTAACGTCTTCCTATGTGACTGACAGTTGCTGTATTAGTGGGGGTGAGGATTTAATAATATGGGTAATTGTTGAACCACTGTGTTGTATACTTGAAACTAATAAAAGACTATATCAGTAAAAATGAATGGATAAGAAAACAACTTGAAGGGAACTTAGCAAAGAGATAAGTACATCTGTACACTCAATAAATTAAATACCTTGACATTCTTCGATAAATAGATCCAAGTATTTTGCTATTAGAAAAAGGTGCTGTAGTGAGTGTCTTTGTACTTAAGTTTCTGGATATGTGGGGGGAGAATATGTGTAAATTTACTACATAAAAGTGAAATTGCTAGGTTAAAGAGTATGTACTTTAAAAATATTTATAAATATTGCTAAATTATTTCCACAGTGGCTATACCATTTCACGCTCCCAGTAGGCAATGTATGAGGGTGCCTTTTTCACTATATCCTGGCTAACACTGTTTATTATCGTACTTACTGCCTTTCTGATAAGATAAAGAAATGAAATGTTACTTACACTTGAATTTCTTTAATTATGAAGCACGTATGTATATGTTTATGTGTTTATAAGTCATCTTTATATCTTTCTTAACCAAGTGCTTAATGTTGTATTGGGTTACTGCCTGTTTCTTACTGATTTATAATTGTTTTCCTTGCATAAAATTTTACATTTTATGTAGTTAAACTTACTTATTACTATTTTTAATGACTACTGGGCCTTGTTTCTCCCATTTTTTTCCTACTACTATATGGCTTTATTTTTTCCATTGTAGACAATGAAATGTACATTGTTTAATATTTTTCCAAGTGCTTTGTCCTAACACACCTTGTCAAATAGTCCATCTTTTCTCCAGCATGATTTTCTTTTAGAAAAAACTCCTGTTTTCAAGTTAACTAACTGTGTCAAGAAAATGATTGTAAAAATTGTGTTTTTAATCAGTCTTTTCTCTTTATTTTTCAATGTTTTAGATAGGGTGATGCTGCTCTGGGTTAGAGTAAATCAGCTAAACTTTTCTTCCTGGGTAGGGTATTGACTAATTTCTTTCTCTCTCATCCAGAGAAGAGGAGCCTATTGATAGGATATCCTGGGTTCAGCTCCCCACCTCTGCCAGTGAACTGGCTTCTGGAGAGATCATTTCTTCCTAGGCACATGAGGTTTATGCCACTGGTTTCTAGTCCACTTTAGGTCCCCTCAGGAAGGCTCCATCCCTTGGGTGAGTGGCAACATCCAGTGAAGTCTTCAGTGGCAGGACCTTTGGAGCTCATGCTTTCTCTCATGTGCGCACAGCTCAGATGAAGTGATTCTGAAGCCCACTGGAAGTCAGTTGACCGTGGAATTCTTGGAAGAGAATAGCTTCAGTGTGCCCATCCTCGTCTTGAAGAAGGATGGCTTGGGGATGACTCTGCCCTCAGCATCATTCACTGTGAGGGATGTGGAACACTATGTTGGTAAGTACCACAGACCCTCTTAACTGTGACATTGTTCACTCCCATCAAGACCCGTCACCCTTCCCCTCCAATCTACCTTTTGCATTTCCTTTCTAGGCATTTTGAGAGTCTGAGGTGAAGTTCCTTGCCCAGAGTTGATCTTTGGCAAAGTTAGAACCCAACTTCTGCTGTTCTCTTCCTTTTCCTACTAATAGACTAAAAAACCCCAGGCTGAACTTCATTTTTTACCTGGAGGATTCCGGGGATAGTAGTGGTCTCTCTGTCCTCTGTTGAGAAGAAAAAGCCTTTGTCTTTTGCCCTCACTCAGGTCTGTTGTCTTCTGGGCATGAGTTTTAGAGGATAGGAAGAGATGAAGAAAAGAAACAGGGTGGATTGTACTGTGAGTGAGGTTGTGGGTCAGGCAGTTCTGTCTCCCTAGCAGGCCTGGACCCTGCATGTAAATCTAAGGACAGTCTGAGGGATTCCTACCCCATTTCCCAAACATGCACATACAGTGTTGAGGAAAGAAGTGTTGAGTGTAAGGCCATTCTAGGGACTGGTGAGGAGAGAAGAGAGAATTTTCTCTGGTCTCTGAGACCACTTGTTGCAGAGCCCATTTCTTTACTCCAGGTTCTGACAAAGAGATTGATGTGATTGATGTGACTCGTCAGGCTGACTGCAAGATGAAGCTCGGTGATTTTGTGAAATATTATTACAGTGGGAAGAGGGAGAAAGTCCTCAATGTCATTAGTTTGGAATTCTCCGATACCAGGTAGGAGGAGTAAGAAGCCTGACAAAAAGTGCCTGGCACTTGTGATATGCTGAGTATGTCTTGGTGTTCCTTTCCCTTCCTCCTGGTAGTTTCTTCCTTTGGGATGGGGAGTTGGTTTTGGTTTACAATTTTTAGGGTAACTACTCACATTATAACAACTGAATCATATTTCTCCTCTACAGTTTCTGTCATTGGATAGCTTATACAGTATCTAATCTAGTTAATTTTTGTCTCTTTCAAGACCTAGGACAGCTTTCTTAGACCTTTTTCTGATATTTAGATTGTGACATGGTCCCTGTTTAACTCACAGGATAGGTCCTCTGTCCCTGGAAACAGATTTACTAACATTACCCCCAAGTAGTTTCTCTAATGATAAGGTTTCTTAGAGTTAAAAAAAAAAAAGAAAAAATGCTTAGAACTTTTTAAATGATTCTGTCTGGCCTCACTCACTCAATAGATAACATATAATCTTCACTGTACTCAGAACTGTGGGAGATCCCAAAAAATCATAACATATCTCTTTGCACTTAGGCTTACTGTCTGATTATTTACTTTTTTAACTTTTAGTTTTGACGTAATTATAGATTCACAGGAAGTCGCAAAAAAAGTATGTACAGGGAGGTCTTGTGTATCTTTCAGCCAGTTTTCTTGAAAGGCAACATCTTACGTAACTATAGTATAATCTTAAAACTCTTACTTTTGGTTTTAACATGCAAAGTCAAACAACCCAAGGGTGTTTAAGAAAACTATGTTTGTTTATACATACCTCACTTTATTTCGAAAGACTGAAGTAGCCCATAGAGATGCAGAGAGTAAAAAAAAATTTGAACAAAGGGAAAATTAAGGTGGTGAAATAGGATGCATCTTGTGGGTAATCTGCACACAAAACACATATATGAATGTCTGGATAGTTGCTGGAGGAGAACTATAGAGTTTTCACTGAATTTCCTGAAGGTCAGAACAAAGAAGTGAGTGTAATATTATAAGACTTGTGGTTTTACATAGGCTAAAAACAGCCATATGTTTAGGAGAAACACTTCTTTACCTGGAACTGAGCTTTGAGAGGTTTTTCTAATGGTTCCTCATAAAGAAGACACTATGAGGTAGGGATAGTACAATAACTAATAAACCAAGTACTAAGTAAGTGGGCCTGGGTCAGAGGAGTATAAGCACTTAGTGGAGGAAATGATCACCCTTGACTGGGGAAGGCTGTGGGGCTGGGACTTGAGACTTCTAGTGCTGAGGGGAGTGAGGATGCTGACCAGACTTACGGAAATGTATCCAGGGTTCCCTTGGGGATTTTGTGGAGAGAATTTGTTTGTCTTATCTGACTCTCATGGGGATGGGGGCATTTTATTTAGGCTTCAACCTTCAATTCCCAATCAGCTGACATCTGCTCTCCACCCCTTCCCTGCTAGGCTTTCTAACCTTGTGGAGACACCCAAGATTGTTCGGAAGCTTTCATGGGTGGAGAACTTGTGGCCGGAGGAGTGTATTTTTGAGAGGCCCAATGTGCAGAAGTACTGCCTTATGAGTGTGCGGGATAGCTATACTGACTTTCACATTGACTTTGGCGGCACCTCAGTCTGGTACCATGTGCTCAAGGTAGGAATGGATATGGCTTCTGGAGGCAGCCCAGCCTTGAGCCTCCCTGTTTGTTTTAGGTTGGCAGCACAAAACAGACTGCTGAGGCCTACCTGCCTTCCAGATTCTATTTGGGTGAGATTTCCATGTAACTGTTCTGTCAGGGTTAGGCACTTACTAGATATGCCACATAAACTGTCTCTACAGTTTTGATGCTCAACTTTTTTTTTTAAATAACCGCAGATGCCTACCTTTTTTTTTTTTTACTCTTACCTTCTTAATTGAGCCAGTCTATACACCTACCATAAATATGGAAATGCCCATATTTACTACAGAAATTCCTGATAACAGGATAAATTTCCCCTTCTCTCCAACCTTATTGGGGTATAATTTTTTTACCTTAAAACAACACAAATTTATTATTATTATTATTTAATTTTTTATTAAGGTATGATTGATATACACTCTGATGAAGGTTTCACATGAAAAAACAATGTGGTTACTACATTTACCCATATTATCAAGTCCCCACCCATACCCCAATGCAGTCATTGTCCATCAGTGTAGTAAGATGCCACAGATCCACTATGTGCCTTCTCTGCGCTACACTGTCTTCCCCGTGATTCCCCACACCATGTGTACTAAACATAATACCCCTCAATCCCCTTATCCCTCCCTCCCCACCTACCCTCCCACACCCCTCCCCTTTGGTAACCACTAGTTGAGGTATAATTTATATAAAATAAAATTAATCTATTTTAGGTGTATAGCTTGATGAGTTTTGACACTTGTATATAGTCACATAACTGTCACCACCAGAAAGGTAGAAGATATGTGAGTTTTTTTTAATTAAAGTATTGTTGATATACAATCTTATGTTGGTTTCAAATGTACAACACAGTGGTTCAAATCCATGTGAGTTTTTTAGTGTCAGCCTTCCAGTAGTTTTCCTTTTGTTAGTTGTTACAATTTTAGAATTAACATATTGATCATCAGTGATTATAAAAGGTTTTTGAGGCCTGGAAAACAAATTTCTTAAGTAATTTTGATTGTTTTCTACCACTTTTCATACTATTTAGTGTTCTTAACAGAATCGCCAAGGGAAGAGCTAAAAAATTGGATATGGCTTTTGTCCAGATGACCACAAAACCTTAATCTAGTTGTTTTCATTGGTTTATCAGGAATAAATTAGAGTGTGTAAATGAAAGTGTTATCATGCAAATGTTAAATTTAATTTTACTTTTAAATAATTTTTCTAGAAAAATTGCAAAAATAATAGGAAAAATTCCTGTGTATCCTTCATTCATGTTCTCCAAATGTTACCATTTTATTATATTCTCTCTGTGATGCAAACACAATAAAATGGTTTATATATTTTTTTTCTGTAACATTTAAGAGTAATTGGAGACATGTTGTCCCTTTTTCTTGTAATAATTCAGTGTGTATTTCTTAAAAGCAAGGGTGTTCCCTTATATAACACCAGTATGGTTATCAAAATCAGGAAATTGATATTGATACAATATTATATCTAGTCTATAGATCTGGTTCAAATTTCTTCAGTTATACAATAGAATTTCTGGTAGTGTTGCTTTGAAATTTATTATCATGAAGTTTGGTTAAACTAATAAAACTGTGGGTTGGAGATATTTTTGTGCTGGTGGGTTTTTGCTTCTTTTCTGCCAGATTATCTATATGGTGATTATCCAGGTAAATATAATCAGGAAATAAAATTTTCTTCCAACAGATAATCACCTAAAATATAATCTTCTGGAAGTCCTTGGACAATTGATTAACTTTTAAACTTTTATTAGCTTTGATTGCAGGTGTGAGAAGGAATATTCTCTGTAAATGGCACTTAAAGACAAATTCAATTTTCTTTTCATCAGTAATGTGGACTTACGTTCTCCTATGGCTGGTTGTATTGATCTATGAGTCTATGGAGGCCATTTTTCATTTGGTATTACATCTAAAATAGGAGACTTTGGTGTACATTTGTTCTAACTTGAACAGTTTTGTTTGAAATGCCCTTTCCAAATTGTTTTTGTCAATCTTTTTAAAGCTGAAAAGTGCACAGTGCAGAAGAACCTTTTGAAGTTTTCCAGATCCACGTAAAAAAAAATTGTAGGGTGGATTTGGGAAAGAATTCTGGCATATTATGTGGTCTTGGAGCATGGGAAAGAGAATATCCTTTTGGAGACCCCCTGGAGGTCTTTTCTGGAAATGCTTGTTATTTTTGGTATTTAAACCTCTGTTTCAGGGTGAGAAGATCTTCTACTTGATTCGCCCAACAAATGCCAACCTGACTCTCTTTGAGTGCTGGAGCAGCTCCTCTAACCAGAATGAAATGTTCTTTGGGGACCAGGTGGACAAGTGCTACAAGTGTTCTGTGAAGCAAGGACAGACACTTTTCATTCCTACAGGTCTTCCCTGGGCCCCTCTGGGAGGGTTTAAGGAGGGTGGGCAGAAGAAGAGGGTGTGTGGCACCAGAATCAACCCCTTCCCTTAATGTGTCGATCTGATTATGTGAGATGTCACTCTAATATCACATGAAGGCTCAGAACTGGTTCTCAAAGAAATTTTCATGGTGGTCAGTTGGCAGGCAGCGTGGTCATCTTTGGGAGTGGGGGAGGCTACAGGTGGGAAGATTCAGGAGGAGGTTGAAGGACTCCTTTGCACTGAGCTGATGTTAACTCTGTAATACAGAGTACAGTTCTCTGAGTGCCATGATTCTAGGAATAGTGACTGGGAGACTAGCTTTGAAGGCTGTAAATCAGAATGACCTGGGATGGGGGTTGGGCTTTTTTCCCTAAGCAATTCATGCCCAGGCTTCACTCCTAGAATTATGTATTCATAGGTCTGGGTGGGATCTGAGAAGATATACTTTGAAAAAGTCCTTCCAGTCATCTCAATTTGGGGAAAGTTGACATCTTTACTATGTTTAGTCTTCCATAAACACAGTATGTCTCTCCATTTATTTAGATTTTCTTTGATTTCTTAATTCTTTGACTTCATAATTAGTTTTTAAGTGGAATTCTCTAGTGCAGTCATATGGACCTGGAGATTTCTTTTTTGTGAAGTTTTTAATTAACATTCCATTTCCTTAAACTCAATTAGGCTATTCAAATTATTTCATAGTGGGTGAATTGTGATAGTTTGTGCTTTTTAAGGAATTGGTTCATTTTATTTGTTAAATTTATGTGTGTATAGTTGTTCATAGTTCTTTCTTATTCTCCTTTTGATGTCTTCCATATCTCTAGTGATATCTGTTTCGTTTCTGATTTTAGTTGTGTCTTCCTTTTTATTCTGTGTTAGTCTTGATGGAGTTTTGTTAACATTATTGAACTTTTGAAAGAACCACTTTTTGTTCCATCATTTTTCTCTGCTGTCTTTGTTTTGAGTTTCATTGATTTCTGCTTTTACCTTTGTTTTTCCTTCCTTCTGCTTGATTTGGGTTTATTTTGCTCTCTTTTTTTCCAGTCTCAGGAAAGGAGCTTGGGTTACTGATTTCAGACTTTCTCTCTTTTATAATATAAGTGTTTAGTGTTGTAAATTTCCTTCTCAGCACTGACTTAGCCGTGTCTCATATTTTGATATGTTGTATTTTCATTTTCATTTAGTTAAATTTAAAAAAATTGAGGTATGATTCATATACCAAGAAACTTACCATGTTAAAAGGAGCTCAGTTAAAAAAAATATTCACACGGTTGTGCACAGAGCAGAAGGACCTTTTGAAGGACCTTCTAATACCAGAAAATTTTTGTCACTTCAAATAGAAACCCTATACCCATTAGTAGTCACTCTCCATCCTTCCCTCCCCCAACGTGTCACTTTTGTACTTTTTATTGTATATGGATTTGCCTATTCTGAATCTTTCATATAAATGGAATCATTCAATATGTGGTCTTTTGTGTCTGACTTCTTTCATTCAGCATATTTTCAAGGTTTATCCATGTTACAGCATTTATCAATAGTTCATGGCTGAATAATATTCCATTGTGTGAATATACCACATTTTGTTTATCCATTCATTATTTTATAGACATGTAGGTTCTTTTTACTTTTTGGCTATTATGAACAATACTGCACAAGTTACTATGTTAACATATATTTCAGTTCTCTTGCACATACACCTAGGAGAAGAATTGCTGAGTTATATTCTGTGTTTAACTTTTTGAGTAATTGCCAAACTCTTATAAAGCAACATTTTACTGTATCACTAGCAATTCATTAGGGTCTCAATTTTTCTACATCCTCCCCAACACTGGTTCTTGTCTGTCTTTATGATTATAGCCATCCTGTGCGTATGAAGTGGTATCTCATTGAGATTTTAATTTGTGTTTCCCTAATGACTGTTGATGTTGAGCATCTTTTCCATGTGCTTGCTGGATAGTTGTTTATCTCTTTTGGAGAAATGTCTATCCAAAACATTTGCCCATTTTTTGTTAGATAATTTGTCTCTTTATTATTGAGTTGTAAGAATTCTTTATGTATTTTGGATATTAGATCTTTATCAGATATATGATTTGACAAATTCTGGGGGTTGTCTTTTCACTTTCTTTATCGTATACTGTAAAGTGCAAAAGTCCAGTTTTATTTGTTTGTTTACTTGTGTTTTCATTGTCATATCTAAGAGGTCATTGCCTAATTAAAGGTTATGAAGATTTGCACCTATGTTTTCTTCTAAGCATTTTATAGTTTTAGCTCTTACACTTAGGTCTTTCATCTATTTCAAGTTAATTTTTGTATATGGTGAGTTGAGGGTACAATTTCATTCTTTTGTATGTAGATGTCTAGTTTTTCCAGAAACATTTGAAAGGACTAGTCATTCCCCATTGAATTGTCTTGACACCTTTGTCAAAAATCAATTGGCCATAGATGTATCGGTTTATTTCTGCACTTTGAGATCTTTTCGGTTGCTCTGTATCTCTATCCTTATGACAGTACTACACTGTCTCAATTACTGTATATTTGTAGTAAGTCTTAAAACTGGGGTATGTCGGACCTCCAATTCTGTTTTTCTTTTTTTTTTTCCATAACAACATAGTCTTTTTATTGATTAATTGCTGATAGAGCTCTATAATATATATTCCTACATTTTTTTTTTTGAGAGGGCATCTCTCATATTTATAGATCAAATGGTTGTTAACAACAATAAAATTCAGTATAGGGGGGTCAATGCTCAATGTACAATCACTAATCCATCTCAAGTCTAATTCTCGTCAGTCTCCAATCTTCTGAAGCATAACGAACAAGTTCTTACATGGTGAACGAATTCTTACAGAGTGAATAAATTCTTACATGGTGAACAGTACAAGGGCATTCATCACAGAAACTTTCGGTTTTGATCATGCATTATGACCTATAAACAATCAGGTCAAATATGAATATTCGTTTGATTTTTGTACTTGATTTATATGTTGATCCCACATTTCTCCTATTATTATTATTATTTTTATTTTTAATAAAATGCTGAAGTGGTAGGTAGATGCAAGATAAAGGTAGAAAACATAGTTTAGTGCTGTAAGAAGGCAAATGTAGATGATCAGATGATCAGGTGTGTGCCTATGGACTAAGTATTAATCCAGGCTAGACAAGGGCAGCAAGACATCCACGGATGCAGAAGATTTCTCTCAAAGCAGGGGGGGTGAGGTTCTGAGCCTCACCTCTGTTGATCCCCAAATTCTCACCTGATGGCCCCCCTGCGACTGTGCCTGTCTTAGGTTGTTCCTCCCTTGAGGAATCTTACCCGTCTCTGGCTAACCAGTCATCTTCCGGGGCCATACAGGGAAATGTAAAGTTGGTAAGTGAGAGAGAAGCCATATTGTTTGCAAAGGTTAGCTTTTTACTTCTTTGCAGATTTATGCCCTGTGGCTTCTATGCCCAGCACTTGTCTCGAGGTATCTTTACCACCTGGAGGAATTATGATACTCGGTAAATTCGATATGAGGCACGAATTCTATTTAAGGGTTGTAATTAGGAAGGAAGAAGAAAAGCTATAGATGTAGCATATGAAGGAAACTTGGGAGGATTGATTATTTCTTTGACATATCTTCTTGTATAGTACCTTAAGTATGTATAGGTTTTAAACTACTAACTAATTTGCACACACATATTAACATAATAGGAATACGGTGACATAAACAAAGCAAATCTATAATTACCAGCCATCTCCAGTGAAGCCAAGAAAACCATTTAGGCACCCTAGGCATTTGTGAAAATTTATCTATGATATGATGGATATTTTCCAACTGTACTTGAACCATCAGACAAATTAAAGCAGCCCATTTCTGGGATCTGTTCACATCCCATATGTTCTTTTAACCATAGATAGTCTATAGTCATGAGATTTTGGGGTGCTACAACTTGCACCCCTCCCAACTCCTGGTTGAGTTCCAACAGTACAGATCCAGTCAAATTCGTTGTCTCACTGTATGCACATGCCAGCCTAGACATCTCCCTCCTCCTTCTTATGGCAAGTCCAGGAGACGGTGGGCTGGATGCAGCCACAACCGCAGCATCGTCCGGATCCCTGTGGAGGCTTTTTGATGATCATCCCCCGGCACGAGTCCTCCAGAGAGTGCTGATGCCGGAAGCTCCTCCTCATATCGTATCTTAGTTCATTTTCTGGGTATCCAAGCTAGGCCTTGATCTTCTGCGTAGAAACAAACAGACCCTTTGCCCACACTTTGACATGCCCTCTATACCACTGTGCAGAACTCATTGGAGGTCAGCACACAGTAACTGCTTTTTTTTTTTTTTTTTAATAAGAGAAAGGAATATTATCAGAAAAGAGTACCTCCATAGCTGATCATCTGACACCCTTTAAGTGATCAACATTAAGGATATTTAAAGCATGCGTTGATCTTTGATTTACCAATAGTTTTATCCTGTTAAGGAGTAATCCCCCTTTTCTTTCTTTCTTTCTTTTTTTTTTTTAAATTTTTTAATCTACACTTACCTGAAGAATACTATGTTTACTATGCTCTCCCCTATATCAGGTCCCCCCTAACAACCACATTACGGTTACTGTCCATCAGCTTAGCAAAATGTTGTAGAGTCACTACTTGTCCTCTCTGTGTTGTGCAGCCCACCCTCCCCTTTCTCCCTCCCCCCCATGCATGCTAATCTTAATACCCCCCTTCTTCTTCCCCCCCCTTATCCCTCCCTGCCCACCCATCCTCCCCAGTTCCTTTCCCTTTGGTACCTGTTAGTCCATTTTTGGGTTCTGTAATTCTGCTGCTGTTTTGTTCCTTCAGTTTTTCCTTTGTTCCTATACTCCTCAGATGAGTGAAATCATTTGGTATTTCTCTTTCTCCGCTTGGCTTATTTCACTGAGCATAATACTCTCCAGCTCCATCCATGTTGCTGCAAATGGTTGGATTTTTCCACTTCTTATGGCTGAGTAGTATTCCATTGTGTA